GAATGTAGGGCCCTCCCATTTCTCTTTATGCCTGCTGTTTCTACACCTTGACTAGAGTCCATCTGTAGTAAGAAGAAAAATTGACTGGACATGGCCTGGAAAAGCACACTCAAGTTCCACCAGTTTTGCTCTATTGAAAAATGGGTGGGTTCAAACAAAGGGTGGTATGTTATGAGCTATTTAACACATCTACATGTAAATACCTGGAAATAAAAGCTGACATTCTGAACTTGTCTCATGCTCATCTTTTGATCCTAAACCCAAATGTCTTTAGTGTACAACAAAAACAAGGGAATTTGACTTGCTGTTCCAATACTTTTAGAGAGGACTGTAGCTCACCACCAAGTGGTGATCAGTTCATAGCTTATCTCTTCTCTTCACCCAAATGTTCAACACATATTACTGCAGATCAGATAATACAGCTACAAAGCTTATCAGTCTACAGCCTAAGGTGTCCTGGTGCCATGTGCGACTTTGGACTCCCTTATGTTTGAACATAGTATTCATTTTTGACAGACAATAAGTACCACAAAAATCCAATAACAGAAAACTACTTAGGTTCAGATCAGAGAGGACATTTGTCCCAATCACACACCTCCAGGTTACACTATCATTACGTATGTAGGTACTAAAGTCTCCCAGCAGAATAATAAAGCCCCCAGCTGGAGCTCCTTCCAGCATCCCTTGAAAGGACTAGGTACTCTCAACTGCTGTAGAGCACATTGGCACAAACAATAACTACTGGATCCTCTCCACCCAAAAGCACAGGGAAGATACCCACTCATCTACCAGGGAAAACTCCAATGAACATGTAAGTGGTAGGGTCAGAGTTAAAGAAAATTTAAATCTTACAATTATACTGTAAATTACAACAGTGACATTAACAGCAATATGTGAGATGGGCTCCTTTGAATATGTGCCAGCTAATGTAGGCAGAGGAATGCATGAATTCAATACCCACCGAGTCTAAACTATTTTTACAATATACTCCTAATTTGAAAAAAAAAAAAAAAAAAACAGCCAATGAAATAGTAAAAAAATTATATAAATGCATATAAGAACCAGCAGTGAGAGGACATTAGAAGATTAAGAGTCCAGCTGACGGGTGGTAAGGACAGCATGCACAATGAGAAGTAGAGCACACACTGATCTACACACCCAGAAAACACAGTACAATTCTCATTTGACTGTGTATGTGTCAAGTGTTAATGGCTAAAAATCAATGAAACTTAAAGAAAATAAAACAGTAAGTGTACAAAACATTAGGAATACCCTTTAAATTTGAACATAAATGTCTTGTACCAATCATAGTTAGATTAGCTCATTTATCCATTTATACTGCCTAAAATACATCTTTAATGGGTGAAACTTGAAAAAATCACCAGCTTGTGCCAAGATTGGCCTGACTGGTCCGTGTTAAAGAAAAAAAAAAAGAGTTATGTTCCTAATACTTTGTACACACGGTCAATGTGGACAAAGAAAAGGAGGGCAGTAAATCTTTTAAAGTGAGAAGGGAGAGGGTGCGTACTGATTGACATTCAAGCTGGATTCCCTTTTGGAGACAGAGAAGGACAGACGGGTGGGCAGAAGAAAAGAGGGATAGAGGGGAAAGAGAAGAAACAAAAACACAGTTAAAAGTCAAGACGAGAAAGGGATGAAGCGTTTTCATGGTGAATGTGTGGAAATGAGTACGAGAAAGCTGACTGAGCCCTGATCAAACGCAGATGGTGCAGGATCTGTTGATGAACGCCGATGCCAAAAACCAGAGTGTAGTGACTGAAAGCATATGTGTTGTTGTGAAACATCACTCACATTTCTAAAACCGTCTTGAGCTGCTCCAGTTTTGACTTCTTCTCCTCAATCTCACAGTCGTTGTGCTGCCCCAGTTCAACCAGCAGGAGACGGGCTATGTCCAGCACTTCCTGGAAACACAGTGACTCCAACACTTAGGTGGAAACTTATCTCTGAAAACTCCCCAGAACAAGCACACACCCTGCACAGGTCCAGACTGATCAGTATAGACCAGGAGAACACAGAGGAGAAAAACAAATCAGTAGTAATGAAGCTAGCTTTAAAATGTTTTATTTACACGGGATAGATTCAGAGTAGCTGCGTGTATTATTGGACAGCCAAGCAAAAAATAATATTTACCTGTATAAATGTAGTAAACAATCTTGTCTAAATAACTATTTAAAGAGAATTCAGTCTGAACATGCAAACTTGAGCACATAAAAAAGAGGTCTGCAATTTAAACTCACCTGCAGCTGTTTTGGCTTTTTCAGCTTTAATTTGCCTTTCTTGTATCCTTCATATTTTTTGAACAAATCAAAGAATCTGTTCAAAATAAAGAAAAAATATCAAGAACAAGTTACACCCAGTGGAAATTTTGCTCTAACTAAATTTCTTATATAGGTTAAATATTTGATCTATTGTTAGCATTATGGTATGTATATGTTCATGTAGATTTTATACTATATTCAGTGTAGACATTTTTGGTGTAGGACAAAATTTTCATAGTTGGAATAAGTTGTCTAAAATTTTATAGTGACAGGACTTTAATACTTCTCAACTTTCTTTCCCAGTAGAGTGTAAAGAACTAAATTAGAATGTACAATCTGTGTCTTCAAATAAAAGATCAAAATCAGAGACTTACAGAGGATGACGAACCTCCATTTTCATCTTTTGCTTTGGTGTTCGGTCTCCATGGCGAATGATGGCAATGACGCAGCGCAGCTCCATCCTGAAAAACAAAACGAAGAATAAGGCAGGAAGACAATATGCAAAAAACATATTTTATATTTCATAATAAAACACACAAATATTAACACTTAATCAACACTTCCAATTTTGGTTGTCACCATTTTTTTCTGAAATAACTGTTTGATTAATTGAAGTAATTATAGGAAATAGTTGGTCAATGAGATTTATTCTCCATACCCTAATTATTAAGGGGGGGAAACATGTAGACTTTTAGATGTAAAACTGACTCTAAGGTTTATACCCATTTTATTAGATATGTACGTAAATTAATTTTGTTTTCTTTTCTTCTATTTAAACACAATTTGTTGAAGCCTTAAATACTTTTTGGTTGCAGCATTTTATTGCAAATAATTATCACTGCAGTGTCATTGTGTAAAATATCAACACTGCAATGGTAATTTTGTGTTGCAGCAACAAAGTTTCAGGTCGACTCCTTGCTGGAGCCTGTCTGTGTGGAGTTTGCCTGCTGTCCCGGTGCATGTATGGTTGGGTTTTCTGGGTACTATGATTTCTTTACACAGTCTAAAAACATGCACTTTAGTTTAACTGGCAACTCTAAACAGTTACTAGATGAGAGCATCAGATTTGTTTGCCTTGATGCAGCCCTGTGATGGACCGTCTGGGTTATCATTCAGCCATGATTAACTATGTAACTATTCCTTCAAATAAAAAATAAATGAGGTCACAGAGAAAGTATAAAGATCAAACCAACTTTACAATGGTCATTAAATTATTCTCCAGGAGTGAAACTGTCCAGGAATGCTCATCACTCCTGTGCAGTGTCAGGACATACATGGTTCCTGAGGTTGTCGGGACAATGGGGATGTCTTCAGCCTCCATGGGGATGGACCAGGGGATGTGCAGCTGAGGGGCTAACTCCCTCATTACCATGTTTCTGGTGAAGAAGACAAAAGCAACATTAAAGTGTCATATTAAAATTGAATTTACTGCCCTGTACATTTACATACATGTAACTCGCTGCCTTTGAATGAAAATAAAATTTCATAAACTTTACAAGTCTTCACTCATCAAGCTTCAATTGTTTTGCCGGAGAGAAGAGGAACAAGTTTTAATGCTGAAAACAGGACTCTCAGAGCTGGAACTCTAGATTAATTAAACCCTGACATCTGGTTCTACCTACCCCAGGACTTTGGCACAGTCGTCGTAGTACTTCATTGAGTTTTTGACAAAACTGAATCCGTTCACATCACAGACATAAGAATGACCGTTGGCTCTGAGCAGATCGAACCCACAAACTGTTTGCTTAAAAGGAGAGAAAATAAAAATCAGTAATGTGAAATTATGCATGTGATGGAAACACAACTAATACAAACACTGTCTGCAAAACAAATGGATTGATTTAAAAAATAATCATCTACACCCAAATAATGTTTGAAGTCAACTTGTTTCAAGATGGCTGACACAATATAGGCGCATAGAAGGCATGAAAAGGAAAACTTGGAGCTTTTTAATGTTTTAATAGCATTTGTTCACAACTTAATTACTTAAATTAAAAAAACAATAAGGAAATATGTTCTTTACTTTGACAGCAGAAATGATTTTTTTTTTTTTTGCATTTGAAATGTTCATGTATTTACAATAGTTACTTTAAAGATATATTGGATTTTAAAATGTGTTTGACATTAGGAAGTCCTGTTGCAGAGGAAAAAAACACAATTCTACATTTAACAGCGGCACCCAGAGAACTACAAACTCACAGATAAAGCAGATGTTTTAACGTTCCTGTCACTTTTTTTTTCAATCATATTCACTAACAGAGTCCAGTTTACCTTGAAAGCCAGGCAGACCTTTCGGGCCACCAGCTTCTCCATGGCGGTGAGCATGACGGGGTAACGGATCTCTTTCCCCTCACTGTCTCGTTCCACCTTCCCATCCAGGGCTGGGGACTTCCTGGCCTCAGCATGGGCATAGTCTGGGCCCACTGTGTAAACCTGAAACAGTCACAAAAACCTTCTCACAACAGATTATGTCAGATGATTCTACAACTTTACCAGTACAGTCTGATCCTGTGCTGCCAGCAGTATCAAAACACAAACAGTACCTTCACATCTGTACCGTCTGTTGGCATGAACTCCTCATAGATGTAGGATCCAGTTTTTCGTACGCTGCTTTCTGGTGAGTACACACTGCTGCGACTCCCAATCTACAACAAACAGAGCCAGGGAAAAGGGTTGTTGACGGGAATTCAACTTTCATTGAGTTTTATATCAATTTGCTTCATTACACAGGAGAAGTAGCGGTAGAAATACTTTTTTACTTTATCACTTGCTGCTGAAAGGTGAAAGGCAGCAGAAAATGTTTTTGCCTGTGTCTGTCTGTTAGCAAAATATCTCATAAACCAGTGGAGAAATTTTAATGAAAGTAATAACTGAATTTGCATTTAAAACTCATTACTTTTGAAGTCAACCTAATTCAAATCTGGCAACACAAAAGTTGCTATAACTCGGTGAGTTTTACAGATAATGTGGTAAAATTAGATGTGGTAGTAGCTGAGAGTCATTCACAACACGTATCCTGAGTGTGGCACCCTACGTAACATTATTTTCAATTATTTTTAAAGAAAAGATGATCTCTTTTTAAAATGTAGGCATAATAGGTGGCTGGTATAGGTGGCTGGTGATGTGCCTTCAAGAAATGTTCCTTTGATTTTTTTATTTTAAAAAAATTAAAGGAAAAAGACTAAAAAAATGTCAATGAAACTATTAATATTCTTCAAGATGTATAAAAAAACCCAATCCTCAACAAATTTGTATAGCCGCTAAGACAGCTACCTTTCTGAAGAGCCTCTGGCTGCCTCCTCCTGCAGACGTAGGGTAATAGATGTAGACGTTGTGGTCCTCTGCACACACAGGTTTTTCCACAAAAGGTTTAGGAAACGCCTCCCCGTTCACCTCGACATGGTCGTCCCCCTCCACCAGGTTACACTCTACACAGAGTCAAACCAGAGGGTTAAACTCAGCTCACCAGAAAACCACCAATCTCCAGCTGTTAGAGATTTAAACCATATTTCTTATAATTTGTCTTTATATGTTGCAAAACTAAAGCAGTGTTGGGCAAATAAACCCCAAACCATCAAGTCTTACTTAAAGATGGCAAAATATCTTCTGATTCAAAATCTTTAGAGCAGAAGGTAATATATGCTATAATACATTCTTATATGCTGGCATTTTACCAGTTCAGGGGTTTTAAACTTCAAAAAGGAGTTTTCAAAGGGAGGCCGTGTATATAAAACAAGTCTTTGTCATGTTTAATATTTTTTGAGTAGCTATTTTTAAACAGCAAAACCAAAAAAATAAAAACTTGTCACCTTCAGGATTGTCAGGGTCTCGGTTTAACACGGCGTAACGAGGCAAGTCGATGCCCTCTTCCAGAAGGATCCGATACACTTCTCTCCTAACGTGGGATTAAACTCAGTCAACATCGTCCTGTACATTTGTGCGGTCTGCATTGTGTTGCTTTTGTGTTATGTTTGAGCAGCTCAAAATAAAATGCACTCAGCAGAAAATTTGTGTACTCCTTTTATTTTCCTGAACTGCGTGTTCTCGCTCCAACTGTACCTGTCCTGAATGAAATACTGCATGTTGAGATCATTGATGAGCAGTGGGTTCCTGAGCTTGGCATATTCCACAGCTTTATCAAGAGGAAAACCTAAAACCAAAACAAAACACATTCCTCTAATTAGTTTAGAATTTTTCTATTTTATTAGTGTGTTAAATACTCACAGCAGGAACAAAACACTTAGTCACATTAACACAGTTTTCTGTCTGACCTGTGAATTATACTGTTGAAGTCTAAAGACGATCTTCTCAATCCCTGTGCTGCTTTTCTTATGCAGTAGATAAATAGAATGGGCAGCGCTTTTCAAAAAGGTGAATTTGATGAATTAATGCAAACATCCCAACATTAATATTTTTTTAACACCAGGGCCCATGTCCCAAAATGGCAAATAAATAAAAAATAACTCCAAGCATCCCAGCAAGTTCCTGTCACTGTATCTTATTTTGAAAGGATTATGAAGAGGAAGCTTTGGTCCTGGAGCTTAGTTTTACTGTCAGAATAAAGGCATCTCCCTCCATGACGAGCCACTGGACCGACAAAAATGTAGAAATATCAAGATTCTTGACTTATAAAATTACACGTCAAAGCCTCTGTTTCATTAGAGGGGTTTTGAGTTGCAGAACTTTGGTTTGGTTTGGAGTTAATTAAAGTTTACCATCTCCAACAGTAAACAGTCCTAAATGATGAAGCAGCTGCAATTAAGGCTTGTTAACGGATTTCTCTCCTTTTAAACAGCTTGTTGTGTCAACAATCGTGCTTGTGTATTAATTAATCCTGTATGAGTAAAGGATGAAATAAGCAGAGGCTGTGAGAGGCATAATTGCTGTAAGTTGGTCTTGTGTTTGGAACGGCTGGTAAGTGCAAGAGGAGTGATATTCAAAGAAAAATTAAGTAATTACAGATAATTCTGGAGAGTGTCTGCTGAAAATGTCCATCCCCAGTGACAGGTAGGAACATGTTTCTAGTAAATATTGCCCTTTTCTGTTTCCAGTTAAAATGACAAAAAACCAACGTGTTCCCACAACTCTGTGAGCAATACTCAAACATGTCTTTAAATAGAGGGCAAAAAATATCTCGTGGAAAAAGTGACTCCATCTTTGTCCAACTTCATCAACTTTTTTTTGGAAGGGGATTTTTACTTATGGAGCATAAATACAGCATCAAAAGCCTGGTAAGAAAACATTTAAGGAATAAAGAC